CAGGCCCAGGAGCGATGGCATGAGGGTGGGAGCAGCACCACACACCCATCTGGAGCAGGGGTGGTGGCTGTGCCATGTCTCCCACCCCTGGGGTGACCGGGGAGCAGCCAGCAGCCCCCGCACTGTTTATTTTTCCAGCCATGGGAATATTTCTTGTGAGAGCTGTTTGCTCGCAGGTGGTGCCACAGGCCAAAGGGCAGCTGCGGGCAGGAACCCAAGCCCGTGCCATCCTCCTGGTGTGCCAGGCACCGTCCAGCTCTGGCACTGCCCTGGTGACCACCTGTGTGCCACCAGAGTGTCACAGATGCCACCAGCACGCTGTGTGGATGGGCCAGTGTGTGACCTGGCTCTCTGTGGGGTGCTGGGACATGTGGCAGCTGCAAGTGCTGGTTAATGCCCCATCATTGCCCTTATGCTGTGCCCACTGGTCCCACACCCCTGAGCGGCTCAGACCCATTCCTGGCATGGGCAGGCACCTCCTTGAGGGCAGGGGCTGCTGCCACCCATGTGGGGACACCCAGCAGCACCCACACACCCCCCAAACCCCCTTGGGGTGCCCATGCCCCATCCTGCTGCCCACGCCACGCAGCCCCTGTGGAAATCCCGGGATTGGGGCGCTCTGCAACGCAGTGATGCAGCAGCATTGCCATGGCAACGGGTGACATCATGCCTGGGTGCACAGGGACTCGGCAGCCCCGGGGCCTACGGGTGCGTGTCTGCCCCGGGGCGGCGTGGGTGCAGGGAGAGGGTACACGGGGTGGGGGTGGGTGTCCCAGTGCACCCAGTTGCTCTGGGTGACCCCAGGCCTGGGCTGGGTGAGAGGATGTGGGGTCCTTGCATGGAGCAGGAGTGGGAGCACCTTCACCCAGCCCTGCCAACACCCAGCCCGGATCCCCACCCACACCCAGGGCTGTACCACTGGCCAGCACCCCCCACGCAAGGGTAGGGGCAGGGAAGGGTCACACGGAGGGTTTTACTGTTCAGCCATGTGCAGATGGGACAGTGGGACAGAGGACAGACACCCTTGTGTCCCCCCCGTGCTCACCCCCACCCCACAGCACAGCCTCCCCACCCATCTATAGGTGCAAGAGTAACCTGTGGCACCCGACCCCAACACTCCCAGGGGCTCTCTGATCATGCTGTGTCCCCAGGGACACCAGAGCATCCCTAATGGCCCTGAGGACCCCGGTGGGGCAGTGCCACAGGCTCAACACCCGCAGCTGGTGGATGTGGACACACATCCAGCGCGGCGCGTCTCCCATCAGCAGGTCCCAATGGGAAGCCAGGATTAACCATCAGCTGATCCCTGTGAGGACAGCATTGGGGACAGCATCAAGGATGGCATCAGGGATGGCTTTAGGGATGGCATCAGGGACAGCATTTCTGCTGAGCAGTTCAGGATTAGGTCTCCGGTTGGGAGCCCCTTCCCACCCATCCTGCTGTGGGGATGGGGGCACACAGCACAGGTCCCACAGCTCTGCTCTTCCCGGGACTGCCAGGAGCGACCCCCAGAGCCAAGAACCCCCCAGCCCACGGCCGTGGCTCTGTCCATCCCCACCCGTAGGCAGGCAGCTCCCGGGCAGGGCTGTCCCCGGGCCGAGTGTGCAGCGGAGCGCAGCTGCCCGCGGAGCTGCCAGCTCGGATGAAGGCAGCGCCGTGCCATCCTCCAACCGCCCCGACAGCTCCGCCCGGGCCCCCCGGCAACTGCAGATGGGGATGGAGGCGGGAGGTCACCCGGAAAATCCGGCTCAGCACTCAGCAATGTGAGCCTGGGGGCTCCGTGGTCATGACCTCTCTGAGCACGGCAGTGGGAGCCTGGGATTCCTGAGGGATGCAGGAGAGTGGGTGTCCCTCAGCCTGGGGAGCACGAGCACAGGGCGGTGGAGGGGGCAGCTGTTCAGAGAGGTGGTTCGGCATGGACTGGGTTCGTGTGCTGGGCTGCAGGCACCACGGTGCTCCCGTGGGAGCCCCCACCCAGTTGGGTGCCCCCCACCAACATCCCGTGGCGTGGCTGGGCTCACACCCTGCCCTGCTGCCGGCACTGGGTGCCCGGCTC